ATTTTGGAGCGCGTCTCATTGTTGCCTGCTGTTAATTCCAGTAACACCAAAGCAGCTGAAGTTCATTAACGACCCACTTCACTCCCCAGATCAGTGTAGCAGAAGTTTAATTGACTCGATGCTGTACTCTGATTAAAGTGTTCCTCACATTGTTTGAGAAGTATATTAACATACAAGTACCTTACAATATTAGAAGCAAAGTACTTGAATAAGTATACATAGTTACCTTTCGCAGCGGTGTAGTATGTATGCTTTGAGCAACCCTCCTCACACATTCACTTGTACTTGCCGTACTCCAGTGTCCAAGGCGCCTCGCCAAAGGATGTCCTCCACCCCAGATGGGCCCACCCTCCTGCTCACCACGCTGTCCTCCTTCCCTTCTTCCATCCCTGCCACCACGTCTGCAGAGTCAAATGCCACGTCGTGCCAGGAGTGGGAGCAGACCCACCACCTGCTCTTCCATGTGGGAAACTTGTCCCTGCTGTTGGGCCTGGCCATCCCGACTACCTTGGCTCTGCACATGATCATGCTGCGCCTCCTCCTGACAACAGGTCAGTTCACAGCTCGTTCCCGTGACGGGATCCAGAAGTAATGTAGCGGGGAAGATTTAAGGAACATAAAGTTATCACATCACAAGTAAAAGCTGCCCGTGCGTTAAACGTCTACTAGGACAGGCTTGTTGACAGTTGACTGTAACGCTGACATTTTAAAGATTTATTGGAAAGTGTTCTGCACGAACAGAGATGCCAAACACAAACTTAATCAGTTTTCTAAGTTCATGAGTCAAAATACTTGCAGGACTCAGTATGTTAGGAAGTCTAATGTATAAATATATTTTCAGCCTCTGAAAGTGAAGTTACTGCGGGTTTGTCAACCAAACGCTTCGACAAAGATCCACACACCCAGCAGAGTGTTTCAGATGCTGTTCCAGTCTCACTGCTTGTGTTTGTAATGTGAATTGAAAAAGTTCACATATAAGAGTATTAATAAAGTATGTAAGTATGTAATAAAGTAATAAACAGAGGGTCGTGTTGTGTGATTGGATCCATTGAGGAGAAGAGGAGGATGATCCGAGCAATTCTGACGATTTTGGAGAGAAAGATAACCTTTGATCTGTCGCCCCCTGTCGGAGCTCTGGGGTACTGCTCTCGCCTTGTTCCCGTTTTAGCGTCTTCCTGTCAGCTGTGTGGA